GGCGGAGTCTGGGCGGTGCCGCGGGCGCAGCACAATGGCCGTGGCGCGCTCGGACCGCGCGCGGATCCGCTGGGGGGGCGACCCCGGGCCGTCCAAGATCACGAGGCAGACTCTTCCAAATCAAGAGATTTGGCCTGTAAATCATGAGATTCCGGGTGGTTTTGTTATTTGTGAAGGGGGGTCCCCCATACGCTGACAGGATACATGGTGCTGTGGGGCTGGAGTGAGGGGCTGCAGCAGGGCTGGGAGGGCTGTGCTTTGGGTGTGAGGACACACACACACTCTCTCTCTCTCTGAAAGGGGGTGCAGCTCCCAGCCTCGGGGGGAGACGTGGCTGGCATGTATCTCCCGCAGGGCAGAGGCGGGCTGGGGCTCTGTACCCTGGTGCTTTCGCCCTGGGAGCTGTGTGAGGCCATTGCCACCCACTGGGAGGGTAGGGGATGTGCACAGAGGTCAGCATGCAGCTTCTGGGCAAGCTTTGCCTCAGGAGCTGCATGCTGGCTGCGCCGTGCATCCCCTGCCGAGGCACGCTGGTGTCACACGGCTGAGCTCCTGGGGCAAAGGCTGCATACTTACTGCTGCATACAGTTCCAAGGGGCATATGCCCCTATGCCTCCCTCAGGGGTGTGCACACCTGTGGGGAGCCATGCCCCCTCCCCCTGTGGCTCTGGACAAGCCTCTGGGGCTCTGTCACATGACCTGCCCTGACCCCAGGGCCCCATTCACCCCAGTCCCTGCCCCTGCCCCTGCCCCATTCTGTCCCTCATTATGGGGGCCTTGATCTGCTCCCCAACCCCCTTCCCCGCCACGCACCAGAAGAAAAAAGTCTAGATTTGAGGGTTCTATCAGGAGATCATGAGTTGGAGTTTTTTTGACTTAGAAATTGTGAGTCTCGTGATTTTTTTGCAGCAGTTTGCATTACTGTGCTGGTCCTGCCTTGCTGGGGCTGCTGTGCTCCTGTGAGGCTTGACCAGCCCATTGTCTGGAGGTGGCTGCACCCAGACCCCTTGCTGTGGCCCGTGGTCACCCGGGACTGGGCTGGAAGGGGCGGGCGTCTGCACTGGGGGCACTGGCACCAGCCGCCAGGGCACGCAGGACCTGTGCACTGCTCGTCTTCAGGGGCAGAGAGCAGCCAGGTAAACTAGTGAGTAGAGCAGGAAACTCAATGAACTTGGGGGCTGTTCCTGGTGTTGCTGCCCTGGCCCCTGATCCTTGGAGGCTGGTGACAGACAGTTGTTTAGATAACCCGTGATTCCAGGGGGGTGGAGAGGTGGTGGTTTTCACAGCATGGGGAAAAGGACCTCCAGCGCGTGCAGCAGATGCACCTGCTTCCAGGCCTTGTGGATAGCAAGCTCTCAAGCTGTTCTGAGAAACTATGGCAGGGGGCTGCCTGAGTGCTCTTTCTCAGAATGTGTGTAGCGGGGTTTATGGGGTGAGCCACGGTTCCTATACAAGGAGCAGATATGGAAATAGCATCAATAACGTGTTTAAACAAGCCTCAGGCAGCTGTTCTGTGGCAGATGTTCAGGGTGCACGACTGTGTGTGCAACACAAAGGGGTACTTGGTGCCCATGATCTGTACAACTCCTTCTTGGCTTCACCACTTCAGTACAGTCC